AACACCTTACAACTGACTCATTTTAGGGTTTTTTCTTCAGCTATTTTTGATATGTGACATAAATATATACTTAATTTTTTCCAAACTACAAATCGACTCTTTAACACTAAAAAGTAAGTCATATTTTTTATTTGTGATATCTGCTTTAGCATATAGCATGATCTATTAAATAATTGGTTCTACTTTGAGCTTCAACTATTGAGTCTAATATGTTTAATATCTTCCAATGATCTTCCTTTCTTAAACTATTAGTTTATATTGTAGATTTTCATGCCTGGTATCAGTCAGCTGTTGCTAGATTGTGCAAACAACCATCCCATCTCAGCAGCTTACAATTACAAAGGTCAGTTGTCCACTGTTCCATTTATATTCTCAGTCCAGGTCCCAGGTTGCAGAATGAGCCCTTATCTGAGACATTCTCTGCTCACATTAGAGGAACATGAGCAAAGGGCTGTTAGGAACTCACAATGCCTGGTATAGCTTCTATGCAACTGTAGCAACGTTCCACTCATTCACATACCATTGGACAAATCAAGTCATATGGCCAGGTCCAATGTTGATGAACATGGGATGTATATTCCTCCCACAAGAGGCAGGCAAGTCACATGGCAATGTAAGAGATTCATGTTTCTCTTACAGAATGAGGGAGCGTTTTGCCAGGATCAAAAATACAATCCAGGCACCAGAGGTTGGTGTAATGGCTATATCTCTGGACTCCCATGTAGTCAACCATGGTTCGAGTCCTGGACTCGGTGGCTTAAACTCAAGCCAGGCATGTGTGCATACGTGCCCAAGATGCTGAGGTGAGAATGGAGGAGAAGGGATTGTGGCATGGCCATCCCCCCTGGGGATTTTTTGCTTTCTGTCTCTCTGTCTCTCTCTATCTTGCTGGCAAGCACACGCGCCCAGTAGCAAAAAAAAACCTCTCCAAAAAAAAGAAATATAGTCCAGGTGAATTTAACATCCATTAAAAGTTTCCTTGGGGATTTAATTTACACACTACTAAATGTATAAACTAATGTGGAAATAATATACTTTCTAAGGTTTTTAATCTTCCAACTAGAAACATGGTGTTTCCTTCCATTTGTTCACACAGTTTGTGTTCTTTTCATAAATGCCCTGCCTCTCTCACATTCCTTTGGGGGGAAGCCATAAATACTGTCATTTTTTCCATGTTGACTAAAGAACAAAATGAAAAAACATTGTATAATAGAAGTTAAAAAATAAAATTGAATAATTATCACTTCTTTGATGACATTATTACTTTGCAAGCTTTGAAGCAATCCCAAAAAAAAAAAAAAAAAGATCACAAGTGAGATCTTTTGTTGAAAACACATAAAAGTCCTAAAAGTAGTATAATTAAAATTAAAAGAAACTACTGGGTAAATAATTGCTTCAAATATGACCAATGAAGTGTTAATTTCTAAGCCTTAGAAAAAGCTAATGTATATTTAGGGTGGGGGTAGGGAGGAAACAGAATCTGCACAAAAGGGAATGCTTATTTTAAAATGGTTCAACCTCACAGTAATCAAAGAAATGCAAATTCGAACTACAATAAGGCATTATTTATATGTTGTAAATGAGCTCGGAATCATTTTCATTATATTATTCGATGTCAGCAAGGTTGCAGTAAATGGAGGCTCTCATGTGCGTAGCAAGAAGAATGTAATGAGGACTACTGGAAGCAACCCTTGCGCAACACTTTTGACAATGCACATCAAAAACCTCAACAGTGTTCATACCCTTTGACCCAGTAGCCCCACTTCTAAAACTTGACTTAAGGAAATAATTCAAAAGATGAAAGCATGCTATAGTTTAAATAGCATGCTATTTAAAAATACATGCTATAGTTTTATTTGTAAAATCTGAAAGGCAATATAGTACTATAGAGGGCCAGCCAGTGACATGGAGGTTAAGGCAGCTGGATCCTACATAGTCAACTCAATAGTTCAAGTCCAGATCCTGTGGCATGAAAAACACACCAGTACGTGTGCATACACACCCAAAATCCCAAGAGAAGAATGGAGGGGAAGGGATTGTGGTGGGTCATTTCCCCTGGAGAGTGATTCCTCACTTTCTCTCTCACTTGCTCTCTCTGTCTCTCTCTAGTGAGAACATACACCCTATAGCAAAAATAAACACACACACACACACACACACACACACACACACACACACAATACCATGGGAAGAATAGAGAATTTCATTTTAAAAGAAAGAATAAGGGAGCCCGATGGTGACATGATAATAACATGCCACATCCTGTAAAGCAATCCCATATGGAAAAGTTCCTGGTTCAAATCCAGAGACCTCCCTGAGTACACCAGACATATGCATGTCCATGAGCCAAGGCCGGCCAAAGCCTGGATGTGGGGGTAGCTTATGCCATAAAGACCCTGTTGAGGGTGCCATCTCTCTCTCTCTCTCCCTAAAGAAATAAATAAACTTTTCTTTAAAAAAAAGAACAATCTCAAATTCGGATTGTACCTCCTTCCTCTGCCACCTCATGGCTCTGTGCATTCTCTCAGTCTTCATTTCCCCTCTGTAATCCTTGGTAAGAAAGTAGTATACTCACCATAAGGCTGTAGGAAAGCCTGAATGAGACGTGTGTACACAACTGTTTGGTAACTGAATATAAAAGACAGCTTTCTTATTGTGAAGATCAGAGTGAAGACTTGGAAACAGCCCATGAAGCCAACAATAAGAAAGATGTTAAGTAAATTATCATCCATCCACCCCATGGAGAATCCTGCAGCATTAGGGACTGTAATTACGCAGATAATGGAGCCACCACAAAGAACACTCCTGGTTCTTTCAAGCAGAAAACAAAATGATGTTACACAACGTAAAAACTATGCACATGAACAAAAACGGGGAAGAAAGATGAAAAAAAATGAGGATGGCTTTTGCATTAGGGGGTTGAATTGCAGGCAGTCTTTCTTTTATTTCTTTTATTATTGCTACGATTTGTTTGTGCAATAAATAAAAGTCAGAAATGGGGAGAAGTGTTACCGAATTGTATGAAAGGCTTCCTCCCACTTACTGTATACTTCATTATCTTCCTCCTGGATGTGATGGATTATGCTAATAGCTTTCTTCCCAATACCCCAGCCTCAGTCCCCCTGGATAAATATCCACTAGGTCCTACTATATCCATTTAACTCAATCTGACGACTTTTACTGAGAAACTACTTTGTACCAAGTTTGGTTACTAAGAGAAAGAGGCTTACAGAGGGTATGTTATACCTTGGGGGTGGTCAAACCCAGGTTTTGGAGAAAAAAGACAGGCCCAGAGGTGAAAGGGAAGAGCTGGGGCTTTCACAAAGGCAAAGAGGATGTCCAGAGTGAGGTCAGGAGGGTGAAGACATGGCTGTGGGTGTCAGAAGCATGGGGCTCGGCACATAGTGGGTGCTCAATAAATATGTGTTGAATTGAACTGAACCGAAATCTATTAAATGGATATTTTCCCTATTGCCATCCTCACCTACTTCAGCCCCAAATAAGGGGTAGGCCCTGACCTTCATAGGGAGTCTCCAGCCTTCCCCTCTATGCTATCCTCCACTGCCGCCTAACCCAAATCAGGCATCCCTCTGGTCCTGGTTTTTCATGCCTAGAAAGGGCTAGAAAAAGGCCCTGCCCATCCCCTAAAAGAACATCACAAACCATATTTGATAAATGAAAACTCCAGACTTGGGATAACTGACAAATAATAGTTTCAAAAATACGCAATTATGTGTTTAAACACACACACACACAAGCAGGGCCAGAGTGGTATTGTGGTTAAGGCAGCTGGATCCCACATGGCCAACTAAGCAGTTCAAGTCCCAGACCCAGCCACTTGGAAAACACACCAGGCGCATGTGCGCATGTGCCCAAAATCCAGGGGGAGAAGGGAGAAGAGACTGTAGTGTGGATATCCCCCCTAGGGAGTGATTTCTCCCTCTCCCTCTCCCTCTCCCTCTCCCTCTCCCTCTCTGTTTCCCTCCAGTGCACGAATGCACACTATAGTAAAGATTTTTTTTTAATAAATAAATTTAAAAATCCAGTGAAGAAACAAGAACCTGTCACAGTTCCTTTAGATTTAATGAACCACTTTTATTAAAAAGAACAATGGGAAGACTATATAATTCCAGGAGAAAGACAGCAAGTGCTTCTGCCTCACCTCCTTCGTCATTCATTTTCCAAGGAAACTAAAGATGCTTGGTTACCCTCCTCTCTGTATGAAGCACCCATCATGATCCAAAATCACGTATTGTTAGTATTTTCAAACAGCTCTTGACAAGCCACTGAGCACTCCATTTGGCCAATCAGTGGAGATTTCTCAGCCACTACTGTAAGCAGAACCTATTCTTTACACTGCATGAAAATGTTTACCTAGGGATCGACAGCTGTCCTTAAGAGACAAACTCTATCTTGTGAAGCAAGACTCGCAGTAACTTTTCTTTCCCTGACCTTGTTATTCATTTTTAACGCTAAAATAAAATTTTATAGTTAAAGGATTTTAAACATACGTTAAACCTTGTCACATTACAAGGCCGAGCAGCCACATGGAAAGATAGGCCGCCAGTGTCTCTCTCAAACCTGGTTTCGGTTGAGCCATGCTTTTTGATTGCTGGGGCTCACATGTCTTACTATTCAAAAAGGCACCCTATGTGCCCATCTCCAGGAGTGGGTCTCTGGGGCTCATTGATAAGCACGTCTATTTCTGTGATGCGCATATTTCACTTGTAATATTGACTGACTTCATTCATTCAGGTATGTATTTTCCAACGCATTAGAACTTCTGGGACATTTTGATGGCCTACAGAGCAAAGCGAGAGAATGCTTGAGATCAGGAAGAATACTCAGAAGATTTGATGTATAAGGTGCTACCAAACCCAGTGTCTTTTCTCCTATCTTGAAGCATGAGGAAAACACAGGGACAAGATAGTAGATAAAGTAGTCAGACAGTGGTGCAGCAGTAAAATGCAACACTCTACAAAGCTTACCCACATCAGAGGGTTCTGGGTTCATGTACAAAGACATCCTTGAGCACACCAGGCACGTGCATGCCCATGACGTAGGGCTGGCTATAACTGAAGACAAATCACGGTATCAAGACCCTGGTCAGGATAATTTCTCTCTCTCTCTCTCTCTCTCTCTGTCTAAATAAAAGCATACTTAAAAATAAAATGAAGATAGTACATGGAGCTAAAGCTTCATCTACCTCTTTCTATATTAGGGTTGAGTCATTTGTTGGAAGCATAAGATATGATTCCACAGAACTGAATCAGAGAAACTCCTGCTTTGCTCTCTCCTAGGGTTTGAATTGATAAAACAGTGTGGAAATTTATTCCCCCGTAAGAAGAAACTGAAGTCAGAGAGAGACCTGGGAGAGGGGAACAAAGAGAAGGTGGCTCATCAGGCCAGGCTCTGCTAATGACTCACAGTAAAGGGCCTGCCCTAGCTAGCTACTGCTGCATAACAAACATTCCAAACTTCGTGCTCAAATTCTTTTTTTCTCTCATGCATCTGTATTTGGGCTTTGTTCGGGGTTTGACCAATGTAGTTCATCTCTGCTCCATTCAGTGTCTGCTGGGACTGGAATGTTCTGGAGACTCACTAAACTCGTATGTGGTGATTGATGCTGGCCAGCAACTGGGTCCTCAGTTGAGGCTCTGCAGTGACCACCCATACATGTCCTTGTGACTGCTTGGCTTCCTCACAGCATAGCAGCTGGGTTGTAAGGGAGACTGCTCTGAGATAAGCAGGCAGAAGCTGTATAACATTTTCTGATAGATTCCACTTTTTAATGGGGAAGTAGTAATGTTCTGGAAGACTGTGCAGAAACAGAAATCTTGTAGAAACTATATGGGGATCACAACCTACCTTGGGGCCTTAGAGTTTCTTCTCAGCACTGCCCAGCTCCTGGGGAAAAATGGAGAGAGCTGAAAGTGGAGCTTCAGGAGTAAGGGGTTCATGGAGGTCTGGTGTGTCTGCCACACCAGTGTCCTCAAGCTGCCAGCTTGTGGCAACAAGCTAGCTAGGCCATAGAGCTGAGAAGAAGAATTAGTGAAGCTCCAGCCCAGGAAGTCTGACAGACAGGGCCACCACCTCTCCTGAGGTCCCTATGACCATGCCCAATGTATTTCTCCAGTGCCTGTCGCCCCCAGCTCTCACTTTGGGAACATCCTTGCAAACATCTCTCTCTCCATGGCTTTCTCCAAACTTTATCTCCAAAATCAGGGTCTCCCTCCCTCACACCCTTGCCAAATGCCCCAATCCAGACTCCCTTCACTGCTACCTTTTTTCCCCACCCTAAAATTGCAGAGTTTGGCCAAAGATATGGGGGGGAGGGGGAGACAAAGAGCGGGAAGGAAGATGTCATTGAGGTAGGGCAGGCCAGGGGTTCCAACTCTATTGATAAAGCTTTGGTATATATCTATATTTTATATATTTTATGTGTCTAAAATATTTTATAATAAATACATAGTTTAAAGACACTGGTGGGCTTGGAGATAACCAGTGACATGGAGGTTAAGGTGACTGGATCCCACATGGCCGACTGAGCAGTTCAAGTCCTGGACTTGGTGGCTGGGTATGTGTGTGTGTGTGCATTCCCAGAATCCTGAGAGGAGAGTGAAGGAGAGGGATTATGATATGGTCATCTATCCTAAGGAGTTCGTTCGTTCTCTCTCTCTCTCTCTCTCTCTCTCTCTTTCTCTAACAAGTATACACACTCTATACCAAATTTTTCTAAATTAAAAAATAAATAAATAAATTAAAGGGTACTGGTAGGCTATCCATCCCTAACTGCAGAGATCTGGGCTATCCCACGTCTCCTCATAGTCAGGAAAGTCAGGTGAACCTGTCTCTCCCTTTCATGTCTGCTGTCTCCCTCCCTTCACCAAGCCCACCTGGTACCAAGCACTGTATTACACTACAGATCCTGCTCTCACTGACCATGGTGATAGACTCATCCAAACTAGGCCAATGAGAATCTTCCCACCAGGCATTTCCAGTGTCTGTGAGACTGCAGGTAGTGTAGCAATGTTGGGGACAGAATAGGCAGGCTTAGGAGGCACTGTTGGAGCACACCGAGAAAACTGTCATCCTGCGGAGAGAGGAAGGAATGAGGCAGACTCGTGGAGAGGGGCTGTGACAGTACTGCCCAGGTCCCCGTTCCAGTCCTTTCCTGATGCCCAGCCACTTTCTTACTCTCCTTCGGTTCTGGGAGACATGCCCACTATTTTAGAATAAATTCTAGCTTTCTGATGTAAGAAGGGCTTTCAATTGCCCAGTTCAAGGAAAATCACACACATAGTCTTCAATATGAATGTCATCCCATGGAAGAGCTGATGCAGTTCACATTGTTCGAAACGAGTAGTGCCCCCTGGAGTTGTACAAAAGGGCAGTTCATAAGAGACTCTGGAGACAACCCGATCTAACACTTGACCTGATCACACAATTTGACAAATACTAGAAGCCACATTGTTGGAGAGAACAGAGAATGGAATTCTAGGTACCTGAGGCAAGTCACTCCTCATGTTTTGCATAAACTTTCCTATCTCAGGGCCAGCAGGTGGCATCGCAGTTAAGGTGCTAGACTCCCACATGGCCCACCATGTTTTGATTCCTGGACCTGGCATCTTTTTCTCTCTCTCTCTCTCTCTCTCTCTCTCTCTCTGTCTCTCTCTCGTATATATGCCCCATAGTAAATTTAAAAATAATAATAATACATAAATAAAATTAAATATATTTTTTAATGTTTCCCATAAGTCAAACAAGGGGCTTTGAGGGAGGCCCGACAGGCCCTTCCAGTCCTGGCGTCTGATTCTGGGATCCATCTTGCGAGTGTGTGCTAATAACACTGTGTGCCCTTGTGTCAGGAAAGGCCCCATTTCAATTCCTTAGTAGGAAATACATTAACTTTCTTTTGGAAGGTGAAGATTTGTGCTGAAAGTCACCTCCGCAGCAGGAAGCTGGGACTCCCTCCTTGTCTCATTTGTTCCAACTCTAGATGTATGGGGCCTGGGGCAGCAGAACAAAGTAGGGAAGTTTAAAGCAGCTTCACTGTGTTCGTTTTTCAGCCTCCACTTAGATTTAGGATCGGGTTTAGGGTTAGGGTTAGAGCTTATGGCAGATTCACGATTAAGGTTAGGGTTGCTTTTAGGACTGAGGTTGGGTTTGGAATTAGGGTCAAGGATAGGCCTAGGAATAGGGTTGGAGTTAAAGTAATGACTAAGGCTAGGATTCTGGTTAGGTGAAGGTAGTCTTAGGGCCAGGGTTAAGACTAGGGTTAGGATAAGAGTTGTCTGTAAACTTAACTCCAGGATTAAAATTAGGCTTGGAGCACATGCTTGGCTGGAGACCCAGAATCTCCTAATGCTGTTCCTCCCTTCTGTCTGTTTGTACCAGCTTGCTTTCTCCATGTGTCTCCTATTTGCTCAGTCTTTAAATACCAGTACGTCTGCAGCTGCTAGCTACCGCCTCTAACCCACACAGTGCCTTTGTGCAAGTTAGAGAGGGCAACTCTCAGGCCAGCACAGTGGCTATGGTGGCTAGATACCACGTGGCCACCTGTGCAGTGCAAGTCCTGGACACATGGCTTAAAAAACATGCCAGGCATATGTGCAAGTATGCCCAAAATCCCAAGATGAGAATGGAAGGGATTGTGTCATGGTCATTCCCCCTTGGGGGTACTTTCTCTCTCTCTCTCTCTCTCTCTCTCTCTCTCTCTCTCTCTCTCTCTCTCTCTGTCTGTCTTTCTCCAGCAAGTTCATGCACCCTGTGTCAAAAAAATTTAAAAAGAAAGAAAGGAAAAGTAACTCTCATTCAAGTTACTGTACTACCTCCCATCTTCCAGAACACTGTGTTAGTATACCGACCTCTCTTTTTTAGAGGTAGTTTGCTTATCGCCAAATGCACAGATCTTACCACCTGTATGATCCAACCAATCTGACAAACGTAATTCCTGCATAACCTGCATCTCTATCAAGGCACAGGACAGTTCATCAACCCAGAAAGCTGCAAAAATATCCTTCCTCCAGAAGCCACCACTTCTGTGACTCCTATCACTATAGGTTGGGCTTTTTCTATTCTGGAACTTAATATAAATGAAACTATGCATTATATACTTTTAGGTGTAACCCTCTCAAGTCACAGGTAAATTTGCTTTGATTAAATAAACAGGGGCCCATCATTTATAAGGCTTCTAATAACTTAATGCTTTTGAGATTTATTCGTGTAGTTGTTCTACTGTCTTCATTAGTACAAGATTTATATTCTGATTTTTTTAGAGGTTTTTGTCATTGAGCGCATGTGCTCGCCAGAGAGAGACAGAAACAGAGAGGGAAAGTGAGAAATCACCCCCCATTGAGGGGATGGCAACGCTGCAATCTCTTCTTGTCTCTTTTTCTCCTGGGATCTTGGGCACACATGCACACACACCAGGTCCAGGACTTGAATCATGGACAGCTATATGGGACTCCAGCAATGTTACCACTATGTCATCTGCTGGCGCCTTGATTGTTTTTCTTTTTAATCAGGTCCTTTTTCTTCTTTTTTTTTTAAGAGAGATATTTTTGCTATAGGGTGTGTGTGTGTGTGTGTGTGTGCTCACCAAAGAAACAGAAAGACAGAGAGAAAGAAAGTAAGAAATAACCACCCAGGAGGGATGGCCATGCCACAATCCCTTCTCCTCTACTTTCTGCTCAGGATCTTGGGCATGCAAGCACACACACCCAGCATGAGTTTTAAGCTGCCATGTCTTTTCTCATAAGACCAGGTGCAATTTCTTCATTAGTCCAGCCACTGTGTACCAATAGGACCCGGAACAGAACATGTGTGACAGGTAGAGGTACAGAAATCTCTTCCCCCATAAGGCTGGGGCCCATTCTCTTTCTGTAAGCAGAGAACCCAGACCAGAGGCCAGCCGTGGTTGCACAGTGCTAAGGCAACACTCTGCCATGCTGAAGCTATGTGGGGAAGTTCCAGGTTCCAGGTTCATGAAGCCAGAACCTTCCTGAACACGCCTGGCACACACGATCCTGGCGTGATCCATGCTCATGATCCTGTCTGGCTGAGGCTAGGAGTGGACCACAGCATAGAGACCCTGTCGGAGTCTCTCTTCTCTCTCTCTCTCTCTATCTCTTAGAAGAAATAAACTTTTAAAAAAATAAAACAAAATGAGATTTGTAGCAAAAAAAAAAAAAAAAAAAGAATGAGACAGAGAGAAAGAAAGAAAAAAAAAATCAGAAGTAGCTTGGCATGATGGAGAAAAGCCAAATGTAGAGTTGGAAAAATGAGCTTCGGACCCAAGCTTGTTCACTTGGCTTTGCGACTTTAGGCCAATCACTTGGTCTCGCCTCATCTGTAAAATGTGCATAACACAATTGCCTTAATCATAAGACCTACTGTTTGGATATTGCCTCAGAGAGCAAATGAGCCCCTGGAAAACTGTAGACACCTGGTAAAAGTTGAATGCATGTCATCAAAATGGCATTGTAAACTCTACAGTGTTTGTTGAAGCCTCTGTGTATGGTCTGCTGTGACGCAGTCACTCCTCAGGAATCTTGCAAAGTTGGCTCTGCAGAATGATTCACCCACAGACCTCCCTTTGTCTGCATCATCCACACAAGAGTGTTTCCCAAACCCAGCCCTACTTCAGGCCTGCCCATTCAGAATCTCCCGACTGGGTCCCATCCCTGACAGTTTTGGTTTCCCGAGTGATTCAGATGTCCCATCTGGGGACAGCACTGAGAAGCTACTGCCCCTTTGGGGAGGCTAGACTGTTCTTTGGGTTTTAAGTTTTATTATCTATTCCATGTGAGAGAGACAGACAGAAGATATCCCAAACATGGTCTTCACACCACGATCCACCCCCAGCCTCAGCCAGCCCATCACAGGCCTGCACACACGTGCTGGCATGCACAGGAGACCTCAGGACACGAACCTGGGGCCTTCCCACGTGCTTTCAGTACTGTGGAGCTCTGCATTGTTGTCATGCCGCTGAGGCCGGCCCTGGACAATGGGTTTTATGAAGTCAGTACAAGGAAAGTATTTTCCAGGGAGAGATGCTTCTTGGTTAATGCATATTAGCCTTCCAAAGGTAGGCTGACCCCGGAGGCCAGACAGCTGACACCACCCCACAGCGAGGTTCTGATGGAAAGGGTGCCCACCATCACCACGTGCTGTTAGCTCCCAGAATACAAGGAACCCCCAGGTGGGCTGCTGCACAGAGAAGGCAGAATGCTCCAGGTGTCCCTGAAGTTCCCAGCCTCACTTGCAGATAGCTTGGAGCCATGTAACTAGTTTTGGCCAATGGACTATGACCCAAAAAATGACATATCCTGTCTAAGTTGAGGAAGTTAGAGCCAGCATGCTTCATTCATTCCTCTTGTTCGCACGGAGACCTCAGATATGACATGTCCAGGCTGGCTAATGGTGTGCTGGTTAAGACAGCTGGATCTCGCATGCCGACTGCACGATTCACAATTCGAGTCCCTGACCCGGTGACTTGAAAAACATGCCTGCTGGGACCAGCAAATGGCGTAATGGTTATGTCACTGGACTCCCACATAGTCAACCGCAGTTTGAGTCCTGGACCCAGAGGCTTGAGACTCACTCAGCGTGTGCACACATGCCCAAAATCCCAAGAGAAAAATGGAGAAGGGACTATGGCATGGTCATCCTCCCTGGAAGGCGATTTCTCGCTTCCTGTCTCTCCAGTAAGCACATGTGCTCTATAGCAAAAATCTCTCTCAAAAAAGAAAGAAAGAAAAACATGCTGGGCATTATATGTTTGCCCAAGATCCCTAGAGGAGAATGGAGGAGAAGAGATTATGGTGCGACCATCCCCCCAGTGGGTGCTTTCTCACTTCCCCCCTCTCTCTCTCTTTCTCTCTTTCTCTCTCTCTCTCTGGAGAGTGCACACATCCTGTAGCAAATTAAATAAGTGAATAAATAAGATTACATGTCCTCCCTGATGTGTTCTTCCGTCTGGGTCCCTGAGTGACACAGGAAGCAGAGAGAGGCATTATTGGCTCTCACTGAAAATGCAACATAAGTAAAGAATGCGCCTGGGTGGTCTAAGTCAGTGAGATCCAAAACAATTAGAATTGAGATCCTGGTTAACGCAGCTATGTACCAAGTGGTTTCTACTCACTCTCTTAGAAACTGAAATGCTAGGGAACCACCAGTTAGCATAATGGCTATGTCGCTGGACTCCCACGTAGTCGACTGCGGTTCGCGTCCCGGACCCTGTGGCTTAGAACTCACGCTGGGCTCATGTGCGTGCGTGCCCAAGATCCCGAGAGGAGAATGGAGGACAAGGGATTGCAGCGTGACCATCCCCCCTGGGGGGTGATTGCTCGCTTTCTGTCTCTATGTCTCTCTCTGTCTGCCTGGCGAGCACACACGCCCTATAGTGAAATTCTCTCCCAAAAAAAAAAAAAAAGAAAGAAAGAAACTGAAATGCTGAATGTCAGTAGAAGAAGCTGAGGAAATTCAGCTGACTTGATAATCATCAGCAAGAATTCCCAAGTAAATGACAAATCTATCACCCAAAACCTTTGGAACATCTATGAATGAGTCCATCTGAATGCTCAACATCAGAAATTCCTAGTACACCTCCCAGCCTAGAGACTCCCTCGTTGTTAGCTGTAGCCCAAAGCCAAGCCCTGGCCACCCATCCAGCCCCCATGGTTGCACCTAATAAACATTTTATGGACCTGTTCAATTGCAAAGCGATGCAGGCAATTAACTCCCATCACGGTTTTATTGTGGAAAGATGTTGCAGGCTTGGTCCATAAAAGTGGAGCCATGTGTCAGATCAGGAAACGCTGCTGCCAAAGCCCGGTGGGGTCGCCTGTCAGAGCAGGTGCGGAGCTCGGATCGGCAGCTCGTGGCTAATGGGATGCTCCCCATCTTGCCCACAGTAGGCTGGCACTGAGCCCTGAGGCTTCATTCTCTCAGCAAAGGTCTTGGAAAATGCTGGACTGAACCAGCCCCCTCTCCCGCACAGTGTGGGCTGAAGTTAAATCCACCCCAGAGGGATGCAGGGCCATAAACGTCTGCTATATCAGCCTTCCTGTGCCCATTACAGACCCACTTCCTATGACTGCCTATGCAATTTCACACCAGACAGCTGTGGGGCGATACCTATTCATGAACGACAGAGAGAGAGAGAAGCAGAAGACTTGGGACACTGAGACAGAGCATGAGAAGTGGAGTGTGGGGAGGGTAGGCTGGCCGATTCCCCCACCCCAAGTCCAAAGTCAGCTACAGGGAGCCCTGTTTCCCCAGCAACAGTCTCTGATTGGTCCCCTTTCAGTACCAGCTGACTCAGGTCCTGAGCAGCCTGGTCTCCGTCCCTCTGCCACACAGGCGGAAGCATTCAAAAGAGGCCCAGAGACCCAGCTCAGCCTCACCCCTCCCCTTTAATCCCCAAAGCCAGTTATGAACTTCAGAGGCTCTAAACACTGAATGTGCTGATGCCCCAGGCAGTATCCCAGTCCATCACCATACGATTCACAACACAATGATATTTTCCAGAAGACACCAAAACTCGCACTGATGCTAAAATCAAAATAACCTCTCTGAATTTTCTAATTGCAAGCTGGTGGCTTAGCTCTTCCAAAGCCAGCTCCTCTCTGTCTCTTCACATGTATTTTTGTATGAGCACATGATCATGCATCTGGGTGTGAGTGTGAATACATGCACTCGTGTGTGTGTGTGTCTCCCCACCCCTTCTGCAGGCTTCAGCTCCCCCAAAGCTTCTCCATCTGTGGAAGGTCCCAGATAGGCTCTGCCTCCCTAAGAAAACCAGGTGACATCATGTGGTTTGAGGATGAGGCTGGAGGACCAGGAGGGCCTGAAGGGCAGGATCAGGTCAAGGAGGGAGGCCAGATGCCCACAGGGGTTGGGCATGAAGAGAGAAGCCCTGTGATCTATCAAGTAGGGATGCGTCCCTGAATGCTCACCCAGCCAGGACATGGCCCACCAGACAGGCAGGCTGAGACCAAGGACTAACCCCTATCACCATAACAAGCTCCTACTATGTGCCAAATATTGTGCCAGGTGGTTTATATACATTGACTTTTTTAACCTACACAGCAATCCTATGTACTCTTGTCCCCAATTTTTACTTGAAACTCCGAGAAGTTAAGTGAGTTTCCCAGGGCCACACAGTTACTAGATGGGGAGCCAGGACACAAACCTAGTCTGCCTCACTGTGAAAGCCAGGCTCCTTCTGCTGCGGCGTGCTGTCTTCAGTGGCAGGTACAGCAGTGGCAGGACTGAGCAGAGTTCCCAGCCAAGGATGCTCGGAGTAGGCAGTGGAGATGCAGGGGAGTGGGACAGGCCAGCATCAAGATCCTTAAGGTTCTTCCCTGGTCAAGTCAATAAAGAGACTCGTAACCGTAGGCTGGGCTACACGGTCAATGGGCAACTAGACCACCAGCTCTTATGTTAAAAAACTAAATTTAAACAAAACAGAATCCTCTTTTTTCACTTTTTCTTTTCCTTTTTTTTTTTTTTTAATTTGCTAGAAGGCACACACATTCACCAGAGACAGACAGAGAGGGCAAGTGAGACAACACCCTCCGATGGGACATGGTCACACCATAATCCCTTCTCCTCCAAATCTCCCTCCTCTCAGGACTTTGGGCATGCACATACACACACCTAGCATGTTTTTCAACTTGTTAGGTCTGGGACTTGAACCACATAGTCAGTTATGTGGGATCCAACTGCCTTAACCACCATGCCACTGGCTGGCCTCAGAATCCTCTTTCTCACTGCATGTGCAAGAGCAAACGGCTCACCATTTATAATCTCCCACTCATCCCATCCATGGAATGGGGCCAATGGGGCCAGGCAGTAGTGCAGCACTGCTGTGACTTGACCCACATGGGTAGGGACCTGGTTCTCCCCAGAGAACCAGGTTGGCTGAGATGGCGTGAGGCGGGGGGGAGGGGGGGTTGACATGAAGACTCTGTTGGGGATGTCTCTCTCTCTTTCTCTCTCTCTCTTTCAGAAAAAATAAATGAATAAATCTTTTTTTATTTTTGAGAGGTTATTTTGCTATAGGGAGCGTGTGCTCGTCAGAAAGAGAGAGACAGAGAGACAGAAAGCGAGAAATCACCCCCCAGGGGGGATGGTCATGCCGCAATCCTTTCTCCTTCACTCTCCGCTCGGGATCTTGGGCATGCATGCACACATGCCCAGCGTGAGTTTAAGCCCCCGGGTCTGGGACTCGAACCACAGTCGACTACGTGGGAGTCCAGCGACATAGCCATTATGCTAACTGCTGATCCCTGAATAAATCTTTTTAAAATGGTGGCAGGAGTCAGCAGGTGATATAGCGGTTGAAGTGCTGTCATCCCACATGGCCAACCACAGTTCTAGTCCCAGACCTGGCAGCATGAAGATTACACAAGGCACAAGTACAAGCCCAAAAGCCCAAGAGGAGCGCGCAGGAGAAGGGACTGTGGCCTGACCATTTCCCCTGTCGAGCAGGCAAGCGCAAGTGCCCTGTAGCAAAACAAACAAACAAAAACCTAAAAAACAAAAACAGGGCGACAATAGCCAACCCACTCCTGTGGCCAGGATCTGCAGCAATAAAGTAATGTATTTCCTAAGTCAGCAAAGGCCTTTGAGTCCCTTGGGTGCTCTAAAAATACAGCTGCTTCGATGGCCAGAGCAGTTGCAAAGATGCTGCGTGTGTTCAGGGTTTCAATGCGCTTATCCAAACCCACACTTTGGAAAAACAATCAAGAGCGATTGTCTATCCAGGGAGAAAATGTCTGGACTGCAGGACTGATGCTCAATTAGCTGTGAGGGAATTGACCCTTCTGCAGCTCGTCCTGGGCAAACCTTGCTTTTTCTTTTATTAGCAGTTTGCAATCATTCTGCTTAATTATTCGTTGTGCTGACAGTTGGCACTGCCTTTATTTACTCTGCACATGACCCACATCCCAGGCTTGGGGATTCAGACGCTTCACTTCTCTCTCTCTCCCTCAAGAACAGGTCTGAGAAGGCGGCTCTGCCCGGGTGCCTCTTTCTCACTGCCCACTTTACCCTTTATGATCTTCCATTTTGCCCACCCATGGAGGTAGCATAGGGCCAGTAGTGTTGCTAAGGTGGTGCGACTGGACCCACATGGGATGGATCCTGGGTTCTCCCTCGAGGCCTCCCTGTCCATGCAGGGCAAGCATGTGCAGACTGACCCAGGCTGGCTGAGACGGGGGCTGGACTGCAGCATGAAGGGCTGCCCTAGGCTGGAGGGAAGATGGTCAGCATTGGCTCATTCAGCTCCCATTCTGATAGGTAGAGAAAATCTCTCTTTTAACAAAGGAAGCTGAGACCCAGAGAGATGAACATAACTTCCTCAAGACTCCAGAGCTACTGACTGGTAAAGCCACAGTGAGAACCCAAATCTGCATGCCTGGTTTATGTGCTTTTCTACCCTGCAGAGCAAGATTTTCTCAGGATGAACTGCAGGACAGACAAGCCACCCACAAGAGACGTAATGCAGAGAAGGGTCAGGAGGAAAAATCGGGAAACAGGCCATTTTTTCAATCCTCCAGAGTCTGCCTCCCAGTGAGAGGCTATTTTATAATATCTGACATGCTCAAATCAAATGAAGCACACTGACAGTGAGCTCAAATATCAGAGGTTTTTATAGAAAGCAGTGCTGGGCGCGAGGACATTGGTGATGGGGAAACTCTTCCCCTGTATCTCTCCAACAAGTGCCGTTATACCTCCCCTTCACTTATCACTGCCTTCAACTGGATCACATGGCACCCCTAGCTGTAAGAGAGGCTGAAAAAACAAATATCTGCCATTTTCTTTTAAGAATTATTTTATTTAACTTTAAATTTGATCAAAGAGGGACAGAGTGAGAGAGAGAGAGAGAGGGAGGGAAAGCCAGAAAGCAAGCCGCCAGGTCCAGGACTAGAACCACAGCCGACCATATAAGAATCCAGTGCCCTTAACCACCATGCCACTTGCTGGCCCAATATCTGCCATTTTCACCCTCTAAAGGTGAAGGGTGGGAAGGAAAAAGGAGAAGGCAATGGTTGTTGGCAGGAAGCCAACAGCATCTGCCATCAAGAGGCACTAGTGTTTGGTGCGAGTTGTAACTACGGAGAATGAGCAGGTCACCAATGGAGAAGACTGAGGACAAAGGGCTTAGCAACACCAACATGTAAGAATCACCAAAAAGGAGTCACTGTACAGGAGATCAAAGAACCATCAAAGGAGTAGGAAGAGGGTATTAGCAAGTGGTGATCATAAAACAAGAGAAAGAAAAATTTTCTAGAAGGACAAAATGGCCCTTAGGATTAAATGCCGCTGAGAGGGCTTAGACTGGAAAGCCTCATCAGATTCAGAAACAAGGAGGTCTTTGATGACTTCAGAGAGGTGGTTTCAGTACAGGAAAGAAGCTAAAGCTAGATTGCAAAAGGCTGAGTGGCTGGGAAGCACTTCACAGAGGCAGTACACAGAGAGACCTCCTTCAAGGCCATGAGTGGAGAGGAAAGAGAACAAGGCAGCAGCTAGAAGGACACTGGGATTAATGGAAGATGTTACTTTTAATATGAAAGGCACTCGAAACTGTTTAGATGCTAAGGGAAAGGGGGAGTAAAGTGTAGTAAATTGACAAAATAGAAGAAAGAGGAGCTACTCAAAGCAGCAGATTCTGCTGAGGTGGCAAGAGGGATTTCAACACAGATGGGAACCAGACACCCCTTTCACTAAAGATGAAACAAAAGGTGCTAAGAATTGGGGTGGAGATTTGTTGTAGATGAAGTTGGGTGGGGAGGAAATAAGGGAGTTCATTCCTGACACCTTCCATCTTCTCTGTAAAGTAAGAGGAAAGATCACTCCCAACAAGTTAAAGGTTTACAGACCCATGACTGTTTCCAAAAGCCTTTATACAATAGTAAATGGTAGAGGACACTGGCCAGTGACACATGGAAGGAAGACAAAGCAAGAGTGAGCACACAACGGAGCTGGGAGAATGGAAATAGTTTGTAGTAGCACTAATCTGTACATCACGGCTAGTGAAGCGTGAGATGAATGAGAGGCGTTGGACACAAAATTTAAGGAGACTATCAGGCATCAACCCTGCACTTACACAACCTAAGAGACAATGTCTCCTTATATTTTGTGTGCTTGACACTTCGCTCACCTCGCTCTACTCCTAACTGGCTCTGTCATGTTACATAATATTTTTTCACTGGCTGTGGGGTGGAGGAAATGGACTACTGGAATCCATTAATTTTCCAGAGCTGAGTGAAATTTGGTAGGAACAATAAAGGGATGGGGGGATGGTAGTTGGTGCCATGGTGGTTAAGAAGGCTGAGTCCGACATGGCCAACTACAGTTTGAGTCCCAGACCCAGTGGTTTGAAAATCACACCAATTTGTATACATGCACACCCAATATCCTAAGAGAAGAATGGAGGAAAAGGGATTGTGGCATAGCTACCCTCTTCCAAGGGGAGGTGATTTCTCACTTTCCCTCTCACTGTGTGTCTGTCTCTCTCTCTCTCTCTCTCTCTCCAGGCAAGCACTTGAAAAACAAAAAACAAGCAAACAAACAAACAAAAAATACAAATATCTTGCTTAAAAAGTAGAAAAGGACTGCCTTCTGGCCCAACATCCAGAGAAAAGCCAGAATCCATGTGCATCTGAGGTGGGCCTAACCCTTTCCCTTTAACTGGAAAGCTTCTGCCCCAAACCCCTCCTTCTGGCCCAACACCCAACCAAAAGCCAGGTTGCTTAGTGAAGATCAGGGAAACAGAACTGCAGAAATACTGCAGGCCATCTCCTTCCGCATGCTTCTAGCACTCAGAATTAACTCCTAGGAGGTAGGAAGTACCATATAATCCAACAGATGACCAGAAACCCCCACTGCACAGGCACAAGAACTATGGAAAATCAAGAAAATCTCTCTCCCCCAAGGGGAACAAAACAACCCTTCATCATCCACAGACAGAACAATGGAATTCGTGAAAATATCAGATCAAGAATTTAGGCTATTCATAGTAATGAAGCTAACAAAAATGCCAGAGAAGAGAGACAACAATTTATAGAAAATGGAGGAGAAAAGAGACAAGTTCCAGGAGGTGAGGAAGTTCTTCCATGACATGAAAGAGGAAATACACACCATAAAAAAATAATCAAATGAAACTGTAAGAGATGAAGGTTATAATACAGGAAATCAAAACCTCCCTCGAAAGTATTAAAAGCAGATTAGATCGTGGAGAAGTTTGAATCTCAGATGTAGAAGCTAAAACCTCTGACCTAGAAAAATTCACTGAGAATTAAAAATACTGAGAAAATAACCCCAAAAAATTAGAATGATATACGAGTGATACCAGATA